GGGGGGGGGGGGGGGGGGGGGGGGGGGGGGGGGGGGGGGGTAAGACCACAGAAAGCGGCGACACATGCTGCGGTTTACGTCCATCACCATCATCCTTGGTTGCGGTACTGGTGGCTGCAGCTGCTGCCGCTTCTTACCTCTCGCGCTGCTGCTGAGGAGGTCCTCTTGGGCTCGCAGGTTGGCTGTGAAGCCCGCTGTGTGTGGTGTGCGATTGTGGAGACTGCCCCTCGTGCCGTGTGACAACGTGGCGAGCGCGCGACAACCACAGCAGCTGCACAGCAGTCTTGCCGTCGTTCTTCAGGGAATTATGTGCCATCTTACCTCGAATAGAGCATCTGTTGGGCACTCGGGGCTGCGGTTCGCCCAACTTGGGTTTTACTTTTCATCATTTTTGATTGAATCTAAAAGAAAGTTCGGTGTTCTGACCCCCGAGTTAAGCTTGCTGGGATTGCAGGCGAACGGTGAAACAAACATGATCTTGTCATCATTTCACCCAGTCAAACAGATGTGGATGGAGCCTAAGCCATCACACGGAGGCCACCACTGCCACTGCACACACACACCTCACCCAATGGCACCAGATGGACGTGTATGCAGGACTTCTGCTCTGTAGCAGCGCGGGAACGAGTGAGAGTGTTGTTTGGTGTGGACGAAAAGCTCTCATCTGCTTGATGCTGCTGCTTTGTGGACGTGCATCACTTGTTTCCCTCGCTTACGCTGCTAGCAGTAGGCAACGGGCCCTAAGAACCGCGCCCGATTCCTCCGATGATGTGGCTAGTTGGTCGCCCGTGGCCTGCGTGTGTACTTATCATGTCTCTCTCGTCTGTGGTGGATCAAAAGGTCGGCCTACAGACACTCGAAGAGGGACCGCAGATTGAGTGACTGTGTGCACTTGCACTTGTTTCTCTCGCTTATTCGCTGCTAGCAGCACGCAATTGGCTTCCAAAACCGCACTCGACGCCTCGTACGAAGTGTTCCTTTGGCCGCCCTCGGCCCGCAGCAGTGTGCACGTCTCGTCGTCTCTGTTTCGGGGGTGGGTGCCTTTATGTGGGAAGCTCAAACGATCGGCCTGCAGATAAATGACAGACAACAGATTGACCTGTCTGCGTCGCCTCCCTCGCTTGTTGTACTGCCGACAGCGGGCAACGAGCTCTTGACAGTCTAACCAGACCTCCTAGTATGTGTGCCTTTGGCTGCCCTTGGTCCACAGTAGTCTCGTGTGCTGCTATGCTGGTTGCCTCGTGTGTATTCTACGTGTGTCGCCTATGTGCTGCTGCTGCTGTGCTACGTCTTCCGGGGGATTCCCGGTCGGCGGCGTGGCCATCGCCCAATCATCTGTCTCTGTCCTACATAATGTCTTCATAATCGACATGTGACTAGTGGGAGGACGGGTATCTACCCGGCTCTACCCCTCTAAAACATAGATGTTTTTTGTTGTTCTTGCGGTCCAACATGAAAATTGCCCCACGTATTCGTCCGGTTTGCAGCCTAACCCCTCAGGTACAAAGAACCCCCGCCTCGGCAACTAGAGTGTTTCAAGTACGGGCGCTATCTGTAGCACCTACACCTGCGCGATTGCCTTCGTCCATGTGACAGCTGGGAGGCTTTCTGTCAACCGTGTACAGCTTCTCGGTGAATCTACCACACAACTTGCATTCGTGTGCAGCGTGCTGGCTGGCTTCTCTCCCTGACGTGATGGTTTTCGTATTTCGAAGTTGTGCTGATTTAGGCGTTGGGAGCCGGGGGTTGTTTGCGCGGTATCTGGTTTGTTGTTGTAAGTGCGCAGATGGGCCCTCTGCCATGGCTGCCATGCGCACCTGGGCGTAAGAGAACGCGCCGACGCAGCTGTACGGTTATCTTCTCTCTGAGTTTCTTCTCCACGCACATGCCCTGGAACACATGCATGCACACATCAAGGAACTCTTGTTCATAAAGAAACAACAATGGCGCGCCGAGACAGCGAAAACAATATCCTGTCGTGGCTCTCGCTCATCCGTCTTCTTTGGTTATTCACACACGTATCACATCTTTCTTCAGGTACTTAGCGCGTCGTGCCACCGTAGAAGGCGTCCGCGTGTTTGGAAAATAGTAGTAGGTAGGGATGTTCGAATGTAACGGGGCGTTTTTCATGTGACCACGCCACCGTAACACCACCACCAACAACAATATGCTTTGTTCTTATCGTCGCCCCGCGTGTCTGCGAAGGTACGTCTCGAAGTCTCTGCGAGAAGGGGAAAACTTCCGGCAGGCGAACCTCCCCCGCAGAATACCCGACGACAAGCAGCCAACCAGGTACCGATTGGCGCGCCCCGGAGAAAAGGTGAGTTCGTATTTTGCACGCAAACACACACCACTGGCATATGCTCTCAAGATATCGCCCAAACATGGCTTCGTTGGAGAGGACAGTAGGCCGCCAAAGAGACTGCTATCACATTAATAGGCGAACCCGCGCGGGGGGTTCGGCGGAGACGGGGGCGGGGCGCGGGGGGCGCGTGGGGGGGAAAGCAGGGGTTGTGCTCGTGCAAGAGTGCGAACTTCAAGGAGACAAAAAAACAACGTTGCTCGAAGAAGACCCATGTATGTTTTTGGACAAAGATTCTCAATCCGACCTTCATGGGGCTATTTTGAGTTGGTGTCACGGAGTCACGAATGGTCAACATTCAAGTCCGGCGGCGGGGACATCATGCACAATTTTTTGCTGGATGTCGTTGTCGGCGATCCGATTCGTTCCCAGAACTTTTATGGTGGCGTTTGATGGCTACTTGTGAAATTCGAGTTCTTTCAGTCGTGTTGAAATTGTTTTTAGCGTTTGGTGCTCTCGTGTGTCTTTGTTATTTTCCCGTCGAAGGTCGTACCCCCACATGTTTCCACCCTCCCCGTCGTCCCCCCGATCCGCATCGACCGATACATCGGTCGGTGTGTCCGTCGACATGTTGTATTTTTTTGCGGCATCCTGCGTAAGTTGCCGCACGGCGAAGAGCCTCCGTTGTACGACGTGTGGGACTCGAGCTACAAGGCGATGGACGAGTTCGGCATTGGCGTCGGGTTGTACTACAGGCAGCTGCTGCTCTTTGCCATTGTGAGAGACCGCCCACTCATCTAGCTCTTTTTCTGTTGCTGATTTTTTTCGCCGCAAGTTGGCGTTGATGCACGTGCGACGTATGTCTGATGCCGATGGCCTCGTCTGTCGGTTGTATGCCCCGTGGCAGCGTCGTCTTGAAGGACCGGGGTTGTTCACACAGGCGCCGAGACGGCTCACGAGTTATTGGTACAATTCCTAAGAGTATCGAGATTGACTGCTGTGTCTCTGAAACCACACGAATGGTCGACATGTACCAGGACAGATCAGCCTGTACGCCAGTGCATCTCGGGGTAGTGCGCAGGGCTCACAGCATCGTGCAACACAACAGAACATTGCATTTTGAAGCACGTGTCATAATGATGTGGACGCCGCAAACGTATTGCGTAGCCTCTTTTGTACCGGCTTTGAAACTTCTGCCCCGTGGATAACTGGTCGTGCCGCATTTTCGCTGTGGGCACCACGTACGGCGGCATACGGCAACAATCGTTCAAGAGTCATTCCGCATGCAACTCCCGGGAGATCACAGCGCCGAAGCCTCTGCTACTGCTGCTGGTCTCACCCCCCCCCCCCCCCCCCCCCCCCCCCCCCCCCCCCCCCCCCCCCNCCCCCCCCCCCCCCCCCCCCCCCTCCCGCGGTCGTTTTTTTCGGTTGCCCGGCCCCCCTGCTCCTCCATCTTGTTGCTTGTTTCGCCGCCAAGGTCATCATGTGTTGCGCCATCGTTTACATCCCCACCATGGCGCACAACGCGAGCTTCAACGACAGCACAACGCCCCCCATCCTGATCGGGACCGCTCACAATGCGGAAAGGTAAGATACATGGAAAGGGACGAATGCTGTTCATGTTCCGTATATTATGATTGGTCATTAAATATGACACACGTCGCCTCAACGACGTTGGCCGTATGCTCAGTTCATCCGTGCGTGTTGTTGGGGGACGTGATTTTTTCTGAATCACCAACACGCGTTGTGCAAACGTCAGAGAAAACCCGAGGTGCGAAAAGGTGTCACTGATGCAGAAGAATCTCGAAGGACAAAGTGTATTTTTACCGAGGGTTGACGTCAGTCTTGTGCAAGCGGCGGCGGCTTGTTGTCTTGCAAGGCATGCCACTCTGTTTGTCAAGCCGGATGCGCCCGGCCCGGTCCATCGATGTACGGAAGGTTCCTACCCCCCCTCTTCGGGAGCAGCCCCTGTTGCATGCTGTGTTGTAGAATGTGGCGAGTACCAGTTCGGAAGCATGTTCTTGGTCTCGCACGTCACTCCTAGGGCCTTGGGTTTTATGCTGGTGCCCGCTTCGAGATACCCGGCCCGCCGACGGCGGCAATGGAGGACAAAGGAATGATTCGGGGATGGAGCTGGTCTGCTGCATCTTGCCTGGTGTCACGCACAGCCGCGCTGCACCAGAATGTCGTAGAGGAAAATAGGGGGGAAGCTGGTTCGCTGCGAATTTGCTTGTGCCAGTTCACACTCCTGCCGACAACGCCACAGGAGGATGATGAAGTACAACAAGGAGAGAGCTGGTGTACAGCAACTTTCTCCGGTGTCGCTTAAAATTCTGTCGGTGAATGTTACGGATGACAAGGGGAGGAAGCTGGTTCGCCGCAAACCGTGTTTGGTGTCGCTCACAGTCCTGCCGACGACGTAAGAATGTTTATTGAGGATAGAGCGGGGAGGAAGCTGGGCTGCAGCAATTTGCTCGGTGTCGCGCACAGTCCTGCCGACGACGCCAGAAATGTTGTGGAGGACAACGGAAGAAGCGGGGAGGAAGCTTGTTCGCTGCATTTTTTTTGGTGCCACTCACGACCCTGGATTGTTTTAGTTGTACGAAAACATACACTGAAAAGTGTAGGACACGTCTCACCACAAAAAATGGGGGGACTGTCGCCATATTAAATAGGACGAAAACACACACAACACAACGCATGGCCATGCCGACGACCCCAGAATGTTATGGAGGGAAAGGAATAGAAGGGGGAGGAAGCTTGTTCGCTGCATATACCTGCCGAGCCAACGCCGAAATGTTTCCAGAGAACGAAGAAGTAAAACGGGGAGGGAGCTGGTTACGTTCAATCTGCTTGGTGCCACTCACAGCACTTGCTGTTTGATTGATTGCTTTGTCCTTTTCGTGCCAAGCCCGCGGTCGCTCCGCGAAAGGAGGGAGAGGGTGAGTATGTCAGTAACGATACCAAAACAAGTATCAAAGGTCTCACGCAGGGCTCATGCAATGAAAGAACAATTCTCATACCGTAGCTGCTCCATTAATTCTCAGCTGCTCCTTATTTTCGTCTTAATGGAACAGGTAGGGTTGAGCGTTGTTCTTTCGTTGTATGAGCCCTGCGTGAGACCTTTGTTACATGATTTGGTGCCGCTATTGACATGCTAAACCATCGACAGCTGCCTTGCGCTCTCCCTCTCTCCATATGAGTACGGGGCGCGTCCTGCCTACCTGGTATGGTTAGGATAACAACAACGAGTCTAGCAACAAGTTGGAAGGCGACTGGCTCCCCCCCCATTTTGCTTGTTTGGCTTCCATAAACTGTAGCCCACCCTGGGAAGTCGACTGTGCGGATGCCGTGTCGCCAACCAATACTCAGCTACTTCAAAGATAAGACGAAAGTACGTACACGAGATCGAAGATGCGACTTTGATTGCAACGGCACTAAAGAAGTTGCCATCCCCGATACAAAGTACTCCGAATCACACCCTCCACAAGGCATGAGCGATGACTACTGAGAATCACAGAGCGGACGACAGGGCCAGCGGGAACATTAGTTTCTGCAGTGAATCCAATCGTAGTAAGAGCCGTGAAGAGTGGTACGATTCAGATCACACCACGACACGCGTCAGCACACCACGTACCACGGCTGCCCTCCAAAATAAAAAAATGGACGGTTCAATCTAAATAATACGGGGTTTCACGCGACGCAATCGAACTCCGGACAAACGCGGTATCTCGTAGAGAGCAATGCTACGGACCGTCACACGCGCGTAGCCAATCAAACTCTAGACTGTAGGCCGCCATAGAGAGGGGATAAGCAAACAAGCCCACAATTCTCGTTCCTCCATGGCTTGGCGGGCGTGATTTGTCGCACCTCCAGCATCGCGTTGTTAGCGCCAACACAAGAGCGAGCGTCCAACGGGGTACATCAGCAACATCAAGCCAACAGACAGGAGAGTGGCCGTCACCCAAAGGTATGTCTACGAGGCAGCACGACCCTTTCCGAGCCTGCCCTCTTTAAACGAACTTCATACCCCCCCCCCGTGCTCGCGCACTGTTTTTTCTTCCGTCGCGTTCGGTGATTTTTTTTGGCAACGGCGACACAGGGACAACTTGTCCTTGAACCGGAATGGTGTCCCCGACCTGATCGTGACCCTCATGCTGGTGTTGTTCGCCATGGCGTTGCAAAAGGCGGAGAGAGTGGCGGTGGAGAACATCGACACCGCGCAGCAGACGCCCCAGGATTATTCGGTAGGCTTTCTTGTTTATTCAAGCTTTTGTTTACCTTGTTGCGTCGTTTCGGAGTGCTTTTGCCGTTCGCTTGCGGTTCCTTGGGCTGTTATTGTCGTCACCAGTCTATTGATGCGTCTCCCAGGCATCGACTCATCCCCCTTGATAGGACGACGCACAGAGAGGGAAGGGGGGAAGGAGATGTCGTGGCGCTTGGAAGTGTTTTCGGTTTTTACCCGCACTGATGTGTTTTCATTAGTCAGCGCCGGTTCGCGCAGTCAATCCTCACAAAAAAGACACAGACAAGCGCACACACGGCGGCACGTTTGTTAGTCGCGTCCTCCTTCTGACAGAGACAGAAAGCTGTATATAGCTACCTCTTTGTGAAATTGTCATGTTTAGCCTTTCTATCACGGGGGAGTTGTCGCTGTGTGCTGCTCGAGCAATCGTAGAAGCACAGCTACTGTCCGTTAACGCTGTGACATAGTTCATTGCTTGTCTATTTCAGACTCTCGTCTGTGGTAGATCTGATGTTGTTGTGTTAGAAGTAAGCGAAAAGAAGAACAAACCGTAAGGTTGCGGGTCAGCTAGAGCACAGAGCACAGGGGTGCGAACGAGTTTCAAATCGCAATTTTCCCTACGACCAGGAGGTTACCACCGACGGGAAGGGGGGTTTTGCAGAATATCTCATCGAGGGCTTCCCTGAGAAGTACCAGTTGGCGCTCGCACCCTCCTGGTTGTGGAGAAATTGCGCTTTGAAAGTCGATCGCACCCCTGTGCCCTGTGCTCTAGCTGACTCCCAACCTTACGGTGCACGGTAAATTCGATTCGGTGTGAACGGAGAGTCACACAAGTCGCGGCGGTGGCACATCACAGCCCTCCTTGCTGACGACCACACCACTCACCACACGCAGCAGCGCCACACCGAAGCCTGTTGGCGATGTTCGGTTGGCAAACGTGCACACTACTGTTGTTGTACCCAAAACGCAAAACAGGTATGATCCACCCACTGTCTATTGACGATGTTGGGTGGCACACACACGCTTTTTTTGTACCCCGCAAACGCAAACAGGGATGCACCCATCCAAATTCTATGGACAATGCTCGGTGGCCATCACGTCTTTGAAGGTACCCCACACGCGCAAAAGACAGGTATGCATCCACAGTCCGCCGAGAGCCCCCGGCCTGTCGGACCCCGACACCTACTACCAAAAATTTCGAGTCCACGGGGAGATCGTGTTCATCACCATCTGCGTAAAGAACGGCACTGTCTTGAAGGTAAGTGAGCGATCGACGAGTCGTGTTATGTATAAGCAGCGAATTGGGCGTGGTGAATAACCAACGAGTTGCTCGTGATACATGGATGAAGCCTCTGTTTGGGGCGAGGTCCATTGTCGGTGAGTGAGCCATGGACGCGTTGCTCATGATGCATCAACGACGTCGTGGGGGCGAACTGTGCTTTTCTATGGGCAGGGCCAAATCATCAGTTTCGCGTTTCTTGAGTTTAGGCTGTGCTCTCGTGGGCGTGTATGTGCACCAGCGAACGCATCCGCGGTGCTTTGGGCCCTTTTGTGCGGCGTTTGGACGTCGGTAAAACAGGTGCTGTAACGTGTTCACACACCTATGAAGAAGAGAACGTACTTGATGCTGCCCGTGCGTGAGTTACCTCGCCCGGCGATGGGGTTGATTGTGAGCCTAGCATACTCTACGATGGTGATCGAGGTTTGGTCAGCGCTGGTACACCACCACCAACATCAACAACAACCGCAATGACGACGACGACGCGGCACTGGCTCGTGGGCATGTTTTGCTATCCTGTCCTTTCATTTATACCCGCGAACGACGTGGCATGATGGCATGGCAGACGGTCGCCAAGAAACGCGTGTTGGAGCACAAGATTAACGCGCTGAACGCCCAGGCGGAGCTCGCCGAGAGGGAAGAAAACGTGGCCGGCGTGAGAATGGTGAGAGTGTGAAGATTTTTTGCGTGGCTGTTTGCGCACAACAGAACTCTTTTTGCTCTTCGCCGAACGATGAAACGGACGGCGATCTTCTTCACACAACCAGCAACCTCGTAACTCCGTTTGCCATCACCATGGCCCGTTGTCGGTGTAGCCGTAGCGTTGAGAGAGGCCAACAACGTCTCGCCTGTCATCGACCATGCCGGACGGGGTCACGTATGTATCTAGAGCGAACGGCGCCTCTGACGTGCTTTGCGTATAGCAGTAACAGAGAGCCACTACCGGGTCCTGGACAAACATTAACATTGCACGCCCGAACCAGTAGTGAACCAACAGTTACCCCTGTACGAACAGCAGTCACCTGAACCAACAGTTAGTGCACGACGGAATGTTTTGCCACAACCGTAAGCCCCCTACCGGATCCGGATAAAAACCGTGAACACGTGTCACCCCTGGTTCAACAGTAGTGCATGAAAACATCGGAATGTTTTGCCACAACCGTACGCCCACCACCGGATCCGGATAAGAACCTCGAGCACGTGTTACCCCTGAACCGACGGTTTCTCAACGATAGCAGAGCAATACCACAACCGAATTGGTTTTCCCGAACCGAACCAATTCCCGAACTCCACCCTCAACCCTTGAACCCAATCCAATTCCCGAAGCCGAAACAGGTTCCCGAACATTTCCCCGAACCCTTTCACGAAGAACCGCTTAGCTCTTGGAAGGCGAATCGGACCACGGCCGACCTCAAGACGTTGCAGAGGTGTGGTTGAGCTAACCCGAACCCTTACCATGAACCCTAATCCTCAAACCGTGGTTCCTAACCAATTCCCCGAGCCGATCCGATCCCCGGATCGATCCCCGAACCCGCCAACGAACAACTCCTGTCGATACCCCTTTGGAAGGCGAACCGGACCACGGCCGACCTCAAGGCGTGGCAGGCGTGGCTGCAGGGCAAGCTGGGGCTGTTCCCCACGAAGGACTACCTAGAGGGTGCCCTGAAAGAGACGAAGGAGAGGCTGAAGGGCCTGACCCACCGGAGCTACGAACCGAAGCGGGTCTACATCACCTACCAGACCGAACAGGCGCAGAGGAAGTGCCTGAAGGCCGTGGAGACAGGTACAAGGGGTTGGGTTTTATTCGCGGCAGAGTGGGGCATGGTCTTTTGGGTAAAGAAGGGTTGACACGCGTTTGGTAGGGTCAGGCGAGGCAGGGGCGTGGCCTTAAGGGTAAAGAAGGGTTAAGACCCTTCTGGTGGGTTTGTTCTTTTTGCGGAAGACTAGGCAGGGCGGGGCATGGTCTGGAGGGTGAGCAAGCGTTATAACACGCTTCTAATAGGGGGTTGTTTTTTTTCTGCGGCAGGGTGAGGCATGGTGCTAAGGGTACGGAAGGGTTGACACGCGTGTGGTGGGGTCAAGCGAGGCAGGGGCGTGGTCTCAAGGGTATGGAAGGGTTAGCACCCTTCTGACCGGGTAGGTGCGGAAGAACTGGCTCGGGGCGGCGAAGGCGGGGGAAAAGAAGGCGCTTCGTTCCTGCTGTTCCCCTTGAGGGAGGGGGCGACGTTCTCGCCCTCTCGCGAGCCCGGCTCTCAGTAAGGCTGGATGATGTGATGGAAGCCCGTAGGAACCGTTTCAGGAGGGACAAGCAATTGTTCGAACCTGTCTCAGAATCTCGATTCATTGTATCTTCTTGTCTCGTCCGCAAGGCTTCTTGTAGGGCGTGCGGCTGTCTCTGTTGCTCGTCGACCGAGAGTGGCGCGAACAACAGGTGAGTTTGTTGCGAGTTTTTTTGCTTCGTCGTCAACAGTGTCGTGCAGCAGGCGGGCGGGAGAGAGCACGCGCAACATTGCCGCGTTTAATCATCACCTCCCGATACCCATCATCGTGTTCTTTTCTAAACACAGTCAACAACAACAAGAGAACGACGGTGTAGTGATCACGCGAAGGTCGCATCTTCGGCAAAGCCTTCAAGTGACGACATGCAGGCCATGCCCAAGATTATGCCTGACCGGTCGGCCGTGCACAACTCCCGCCTGTCATTCAAGGATGTTGGGATTATCTCTGAAACGAACTTGAGTCATCTTCTCGAGAAATACATTTCGCCACAAGGTTTTGTGTTGACTTGTGAGAAAACTGCGGGCCACCTTTGCCTCTCCCGTCTCTTGTATGCTCGCACGAAAACGAGGTCTGTGGGAGGAGTACGTGGCCAAGCTGACGGGGAAAGAAGTTAACCAGGAGGCCGTCATTGGCGGTTCTGTGTGCCGGATAGACGAGGCCGAAGAGCCGTCGGACGTGCTGTGGGAAAACATTGATGCCCCCATTGCGCAAAGGTATGCTCTGTGCCCGCCTGTGTGCGTTGTGTGATTTCGTGCGCCTCATGTGTGGCCCGCGCGCGCGGCCGATTCGACAGGCGAACGGTTTACGCAATTTTTGTCTGGTCATCCCATTCTTCTGGGCGTTAGGTTTTGCACCTTTCGGTCATACAGGAGAAAAGTCGCACAGGAGATGCATCTTAAACCACAGAAGCGGAGTTGCTGTTGTGGAAGCACGTCTACCTCCGTATTCTCAGGTGATGTATAGTCATTAGACTCCCCTGGTAATTTATCTCCGTATTCCGAGGTGATATAGTCACAGACCCCCCTCGTAGCGTGTCTGGGGCAAGTCGTCCCCGCCGCTGTCTGTGTTCCTGAAGACTTGCTGCGGCTTTCAGCGTGAACACTTATACCTGTGTACCTCTTAGGTTGACGCCTCCGTACCCCGGAAGACTGCTGTAGGTGCTGCTCTAACCACTGCTGTGTTTTTTCGGCCACATTTGTTCTGCGGGCGACGCTTGGTTCTGTGCTCCAGCAGCATTTTGCGTTGCGAGCGGTGTCAGCGTAGTTTCGCCCGTGGATGTCATGACTTCGCGCATTCATTCATGTGAGGCGAGAGTCTAACTCCGATCCCTGAGTTCATTGCTGCCAGTCAACCGCTACCACTCCCAACATAACCCTGAGACGTCAGCGAGCGAGCCAAAACGACCGGCGAGAGCTGCTGCCGTACTCTGCTCTAGAATTCGCGTTGGAACGGCACCCAGTAGTAGCAAACGAGCAGGCTTCTGCTAGAGAAAACCGAGCTGTACACGTGCAAGTGCTACCGAGTCGGAGAGCTAGAATGACATAACGAGTGATAAGATTTTTGCTGCAAGCCACAGCTTCGTGCGAGCAAAGAGCCGCACACTTGCAATGCGGGAACTCGAGCGCTGCTCTTGCCGCCGCTGCTACTACGGGGGCGACGCTGCTATCTTTTGTTCATGGGTCTTGCGCGAACGATTTCCTGACGTTGTTGTTGCCGTCTCTGCCGAACTGCTGTTGTTATGGTGGCACCGGTGCTGGCGTGTTTTTTTGCAGGGCGGCGACCTTCGCCCTGTCCGGGTTCCTCTCGGGCGCTTTCTTGGCGGGGAGCTTTTTCATCCTCAGGGCCATATTCGAGGCTGGCTTCATCGCCGCCATGTTCGTCGCTCTCGTCAATGCCCTGCTCCCACTCGTCATCAGGGTCCTCACACTCGCCATAGGTCGGTCCGTTGATCTGTCTATCTCGGCCTTATTGCGGTACGATCAAATGACTGACGCGCCAACGCCCTGCTCCCTCGTTCACCAGCATTCTCACCCTCGCCAACAGGAAATATACGTCATACAACCAAAGGGAGGCTACCCGTTCGGGATATAACCACAGTCGAAGGAGATGGGTTCTCGCCTCTGTGGCGCCCCTCATTGTCGTTGATTTGTCCATCTCGACGTTTTCGCGGTATAATGAAAAGTACTGACGCGGGGGAGAAGAGATAACGCCTTTCGTGTTCATGTTGATATGTTCAGTAGCTGCGTTGAAGAGGTGTCGATTGTTTTCTTAGCTGCGTTTCCAAGGTGGCAGGCCTCCTTGTCGTTATTGCTCATGGCGATCAGCTGCGTTCGAAAGGTCTCTCCTCTATTTCTCATGTCTTACCTTGTTGGATAGGTAAAAAGTATATGGCAGGCCCCTCCTGTTGATTGATCGTTCGTTCTTCTGTCTCGCGTCCCGGCAGAGCAACACAAGAGCCTAACACAGATGCAGGCGTCCATGATGTTCAAGCTCGTCACCGCCCGCGCCATCAACTCGGCCTTCTTGTTGTTCATCATTACCTCGGACGATGAGCAGCTGGAACCCGAAACGCTAACCAAGGTACGTATGCGTGACTACTACCGCCAAAAATCCTACAGGATACACGGGACGAAGTATTCTACGGCTGGAGCCGGCATGAGAAAAACTCCCGAACCGGCATCCACGGTTCGCACTCTCAATGCCCTGTCATCCAATCACCCCGCATACCCCCCCTTAGATGGTCTTGACACAATTTTTTGTTCATTTGTTCGTTTATCTCGTGTGGTGCGGCATCAGATCCTCTCGATTCTGATTGCGGACGCCTTCACCGGGCCCCTCCTGAGGCTGGCCAACCTGCCGGACCTGTTCGGTCGGAAGGTCATCGCCCCGAAGGCCAAGACGCAGGCAGAAATGAACGTATTCTTCCAGGGGGCTCCGTGGAATCTGGCGGAGAGATACACGGACATGGTCAGTGGCGTACCCGTACCGCTGTAGGAAGAGAAAGCTCACTGTTCGACTGCTGTGGTTGTTTTGTCTCGGGTAGTAATCTTTCTGTGATTGAGTATGTATATTTTCTACAAACAATCGGCGGAAAGCGGCATTCGGTGGGTTTTGCCCGGGGAGTGTTCTTGCGGTGCATGTGTTTATGACGGATCACGTATGGATGTTGCGACGGCACAGGCCGTGAATGGAGTACGGCACAGGCCGTGAATAGATCACGCACACGATAACTCCAACGGCTTGCTGCGTGCGACAATATGAAGCCAGTCGTCTACAGCAGTACCTTGCACCAACCAACTTAATGGATACAAACGGCTACATTAAGTTTGTCTTGTTACTGCGTCGCTGAACCTCCTGTGGCAAAAACTAACGGCCGTATAAATAAATAACCACGCCGGCGGGCGAGGCAGATCAAGACGGTTTTCGTCGGCCTCTTCTACTCGGCCATCGTGCCCACGGGGCTCATCGTGACGGCAGTGGCCATGATGATGCTCTACTGGGTCGACAAGTACTCCCTGCTCAGGCTGTGGAGGAGACCGCCGGTGAGTTTTGCGAAGAACTCCCGCCAAAAGAGTGACGGTATGGTAAAACAACAACGGCCACGGTAAAGCAACAACGCCTCTCTCTCTCTCTTGACCGGATCTACGCCACGCTCCACGTGTGTTTTAACGATTGGGTTGGCGGAAGGGATGCTCCGTCAGCGCCAAAGGGCGTGTGTCGTCGGGAACACTGTTTTTGCCGACGTTTCCGACGCAGAAGTCTGAACTCTGCACGATGCCGTCCGTGAAATTCAGCAACCGTGGGGGGGTGTAAGGGTACTGCTGTACTGCGGTTGTTTTTTTGCTGCTATCTTTGCCGTGATTTGATGTTGGCGGTAAATTGCCTATCAATTTTTCGGCGTCGATGGCGTCTAGTGGCTGCTGTGTGGAAGACGGCGCATCCGGTCCTATTGTATCTGTTGCTGTTAGTGTCAGTTGCTTCCGTTCCAATACTGTTTGCCCCACCCCTCCGAGAACCATCGGGGTTGGGTTTTCATCGCTTGGCAACAAGATTGGCAAGCACGCCGATCGCTTCGTGAGCTTGATAACCCGGTTACCGGTTTTCTTCCTTTTTTTATTTTAAACATGATGGTGGCCGAATAGATTATGTTGTGTAGGGTCGAACCGTCACTCCGCGCGAAGGGGAGGATCGCACCACGTTGTGTTAAAATGGTCAAGCACCCTCGAGTTAGTTGCATAGAGTGCTCATAACTTCTGTCTCTAGAAGTGAAAGCACCAGAAAATAAATTAAGTCATGCGCAGCTATCATCCGTACGCAAGGGAGTAAGCACAAGATGCCGAACACCCTTAGCAGGATGCAGCCCACGCTCCATGCGACTCGCCGAATATCTCACGGCGCTTCGCGTTTGGTGACGTGGGAGCCTGGTCCGGTGAGAACCCGGCGTGCTCCGTCTCGGCTTTGTAGGGATGCGAGGTCAATGGTCTAACGACTACGGCATGCACGACTATGAGTACACGCCCACCCCCACCCCGCGTTTGCCCGGCAGGCTTACGACGCGCGGTTATCGGGCTACAGCCGCAAGTACATTGTCCTGTGCATCTGGCTGCACCTTGTTATGGCGAGGATTTTCTTCGCAAAGTGAGTCACGACCTATCGAGTCAGCCGATCATGTCGCTGCTGTAAACCGCTCCAATTAGACAGGAAGTGGTGGCTACATTATACAATGATGTTTGTGCATCATTTATGTTGGTGTTGGCTTAGGCTCGGAGTCGAAAACACAGCAGAGTCTCATCCACTCAGCGTGCTGGTGATGCCTTGACGTGAGAAACCGTTCTCTACTGTTTGAAGTTGTACCCCCTGTACACCGTCACCTCAATGGCGAGCCAGAAAAGAACTTCCGCCGTCACAAGCTCCTACCGCAGTTCAGGCACGAAATTGTATGCACAACATAGGACCGATCGGGCGGGAATGATGGCACTCACATTACGGTTGTCGTTCCGTTCCATTCTATTTCATTCCGTTCCATTCCATTCCATTCCGTTCCGTTCCGGTCCGACTTAATTTAAATCATGGACTCTGCTTTCGCCTCGCCGTCGTGTTGGCGCGCGGTGCGCTGCTCCCCGCAGGTGGCCTTACAAGGCAGGCGAGGATCTGCCGGACTGCGGCCCGTTCTTCTGCGACGAAGGCGACGCCGAATTCACCGCCGACCAGAGCGAGATCGTCGCCATCTACGAGGCGAGTACGCCTGCGCTGCCGCTGCCGCTACATCCGCCGCGCGCATGGTCTGTTATCTTACATGGTGGAACTTGGCGACATGGATATGTCACACGCTGTACGCTCCCGCTTTCGCTCCCGCAGCTGCCACGCATGTCGTGTTGCCGTATATGGTCGATATTTTCGGCGGCACGAAGCAGTCACATGCTGCGCGATAGCTTGGTTTCCTTGCCCGCTGTGTCCGCTGCCGCGACGCATAGCCTATTGTGGTACATGGTCGAAAACTAGGGGCATGGACACGTCATGGTGTGGTGGTATTCGATTCACCTGGTTTCTTGACCGCTGTCTCCGCCGATTGTGACGACTCCGGGCCGTCTTGGTTTTGTTGGGTTCGGTTTTTGATGCTCCTCTCGCCGGCTAAGCTCCTTCAAGTCGTTGTTTTAGAGCCAATCAGGCCCCCTTCGTTGCTGGTGTCGGGGTGTTCCTTGAGTGTTTCGCAGAGCCAGGTTGGTCGTTCCGCAGTGTTTCCACCCTTGATTAGCCTAGATGTTCCGTCGTTGATTGCCCAAAATGGTCCACCCCTCGGTGATCCAAAATAATCGACCGTCGTCCAAGACCTGCCACCGTCGAATGTCCAAAGTGCTCCACCTTCGATTATCCCAGATGTTTCACCCTTGATCGCACGCAAAGCTCCGCCCTTGATTGACCAAAAGATGTTCCATACTTGCTTGTCCTAGAAAATTGTCGTTTCACGCGTCAATTTAGTCGGCGTGAAGCGTCGGTTGCCGCCGTCAGCTGCTTTCAATGTGCGTGTCTACGCCTTTTGCGCCCATCGGCTGTTCCGTTTCGCAGATTCTCGGAATCCTGGTGTTTGCCGTGGGGGGCTGCTTGGTCGCGCTGCTCTACATCCGGCACTACGCCACCAAGCTCGTGGTGACGAGCCACAATGCGGTGAGTTGTTTCATCATTCGCTCGCTGCGGTGCATCTGCTGTTGCTGCTGGTACTGCTGGTGCTGCTGGTGCTGCTGGTGCTGTTGCTTTGGCAAAATACCGCTGTTCGTGCAGACTGCTGTGCGAGTAGACCCCGTGGTGTACAATTTTTTTCCACAGCGCTTTTTGGTATTTAGTCTTGCGGCACGTGGTATTCGGCACGGGCATGCATTTGTTCGTCGCTGGCATGCTCTCCCTTGATTTTCTTTTCTCTCAAGTCCCGATTGCACCCATTTCTGTTCTACATGCGTTCAACCCTTTTGGACGGCGACAGAGTGTGTTTATGGCCACCCCCCCAGAGTACGCCGGAGCAGTATGGCAAGGAAATAAGAAGGTAGTGAATGAACTCGAGGTGTAGAGAACGTATGGAAGGGGTTCGACATCGACGAAGATGAAACTCTGGAAACAGAGGGTCTACAGGGGTTCAAGGAGAAGATATCTAACGAAGGAAGGAATATTGAAGGAAGGGATGGGGTTCAAGGATTAANTCTAGAAGTGTACGGAATGTTGAAGGAAGGAATAGGGTTCAAGGACTACCTACATGGACCAATGGATGCAGGAACAAAGCTTAAGGTCAAATTCAGGACCGGGGACATAGGCCTTCGAGAACGTCGACGAAGACATAGGACGGTAGACGACGAAGACGACGAGTTCAAATGTGATTGCGGCTTTGAATGCGAGACCGTGTTCATGTCGTCGCGGAATGTCAGTTGTACGAAGAGGAGAGGGAAGTGTACATGACTCAGCTGGGAAAATAGATGGAAGGTACAGGGAGATGTTTGAGGCATGGAAAAGAGAGGAAAGGACGGTAGCTGTACTGGGGAATAGGCAGTGGTTTGAGAAGGCGGGAAG